TACATACCATGTTTGTCTTTCTGGATCTGGGATCATCACTCAGGGTGATCTTTTCTAGTTCCAGCCATTTGCCTGCAAATTTCATGATGTCCTTTTTAATAGCTGAATAATACTCCATTGTGACTTTTTTTTTTATCCATTCTTCAGTTGAGGGACATCTAGGTTGCTTACAATTTCTGGTTATGAATAAAGCTGCTTTGAACATAGTTGAGCAAGTGTCCTTGTTGTGTGGGAGAACATCTTTTGGGTATCTGCCCAGGAGTGGTATAGCTGGGTCTTCAGAAAGATTGATTCCCAATTTTCTGAGAAAACACTAAATTGATTTCCAAAGTGGCTGTACAAGTTTGCATTCCCACCAGCAATGGAGGAATGCTCCCCTTGCTCCTTCACCAGCATGAGCTGTTGCTTGAGTTTTTAATCTTAGCCATTATGATGGGTGTAAGATAGAATCTGAGTCATTGATTTGTGTTTTCCTGATGGCTAAGGAGGTTGAATATTTCTTTAAGTGTGTCTTGGAAATTAGAGATTCCTCTGTCAAGAATTCTATTTAGATCTGTACCCATTTTTAATTGGATTGTTTGATTTGCTGATGTCTAGTTTCTTGAGTTCATTATATATTTTGGGTATCAGCCTTCTGTCAGATGTGGGGTTGGTGAAGATATTTTCCCATTCCTTAGGTTGCCATTGACACTATCCCTTTGATAGTGTCCTTTGCTTTTCAAAAGCTTTTGAGTTTCATGAGGTCCCATTTATTAATTGTTGATCTTATTGCCTGAGCAATTGGTATTCTGTTCAGGAATTTGTTTCCCCATGCCAGTGGTAGCACTATTTCTTTAAGGACAATTTGGTGCACAATTTTGGCTTCAGAACAATTTTAATGCCTCACATATTAAAATAATCATGTTATTTCAGCATTTGGAAATGGGTTTTGGTGAAAGGAACTATGCATAGCAAAGCAAGGTGGCAGCAATAAGCATTCAGTGTCTCCAATTGGAGGGCTGCTCCCCGGGACAACCTAGGGACTGTCACCAGCCAAACAAAGCAGACACCTTTAGCCAGCTCCAGCATAACCCTGAGGACAAAGCTAGGAGGCAAGAGGTTTAAAAACCATTGGTTTCCTGTAAGCCCAGGCTGGCCCCATATTAGCAAGTCCACTTTTGTGGGTTGTATTTGAAAGTGTCTCTCTCCTTCAAAGCCTTGGGTTCAATTTCCTAGGATAGGAGAGAGAGGAAAAAAGGGGGATAGGGAAAGAAAGGGAGGGAGGGAGGAAGAAGAAAGTTGAAAAGGACTTTGTTGTCACAGGTGAGAAGAATGCCAATAAGTACCGCATACAAATTCCATATAGTTATGAAAAGTAACCCATTTTGGGATTCATTTAAAAATCTGTCTTCTAAAAGTGAATAAAGTGTAATTAATAAAGAATTTAAAAGAAAAAAAGATTAAACAAAACAAAATCTGTCTTCTAGTACAGTCAGGGCATGCACCTGTTGTCTCAATTACTCTGGGAGGGAAAGCTTGAGCCCGAGAATTCGAGACTAGCTTGAACAAAATAGCAAGACCTTTCCTCTTAACCAAATCAAATATAAAAATAATATGATTGTCTTTCTTACAAGAATGCAAGTTGGGGCAGAAAAGCCCCCAGCACTCAAAATATGCAGCTAACTTCATCCTTCGGTGTGAGTGTTAGCTTGTGTGAGCTACTCCCAATGCCTAGGACAAAGCCATTCCCATCCAGCCCATTTAAGAACACAGCTGAACATAATAAATCTTAAAAAAAAAAAAAAAAAAACCCACAGGTAAAGCCTTCACACAAGAGCAAGGAACACCACAATCCTCACCTGGGTTGGGTTGCACTGTCAGTCAGGATTGTACTAACCCAAGCAAGAACCTCCGGCTGGGCCAGTTGCACCCACTGCTCCTGGGATGTTGGGCAGCTACCAATCAACTGTAATTGGGCCCCCAACTGGGACCCCAAGCCAGGCCCCTAGCGCAGGAAAGAGAGAGGTGACTTGGCTAGAGAACTCCCACTGAGAAAGAACTGAATACAGAACACCACTTGGTGAATTCTTGTGCCTGGCTACACCAAGGTTGATCTCTACTCTGGCAAGGATTTGGAGGGCGAGTTAGGGACTTCTTGACTTCTGCATTCTTTTTTTTTTTTTTTCTTTCCACTTTTTTTAATTTTTATTTTTATTATTGTTACATTTAATTAATTCTGTATCCCAGCTGTATCCCGCTCCCTCATTCCCTCCCAATTTCACCCTCCCTCCCTCATCTCCTCCCTGCCCCTTTCCACTCATTGGGGAGGACCTCCTCCCCTTTCATCTGCCCGGGTTTGAATAGCGCTCCTCCTTATAAGAATGCTTTTCATCATCCGAGAACCCTGCTTCTTAGCCTTCCTAATGCTGCGACCCTTTAATGCAATTCCTCATGCTGTGGTGACTCCCAACTGTAATTTTGGCATCATTATGAATGATAAGGTAAACATCTGGTTTTCGATGGTCTTAGGCAATCCCTGGGAGAAGGTTATTCCACCTCTCAAAGGAGTCCTGACTCACAAACTAAGAACCACTGGGTTAGAAACCTTTCTCAAGTTGCAGATATCACGGGATGCTCTTAGGAATCCAGGAAGGCAAAGTGTTTGAACTCAGGGCTGTTATCCTCAAGTCCAATCCATAGCATCCTTTTCTTCTAGACTCCCTAATAGTGCTTTTTAGCAGCTGAATGGCAAATGGCTGCAAGCTTCGGGCTTTAGAGCTTTATCTAGGGTCACCCCAGACTTGGGAAAGCAAGGATTCAGCTCAGCTTATCTGGAGCGGCTGGGCGAGCTCCGGTCCACCGCTCTCCAACACCCCAAGTATACCACGGGCTGTTGGGGGTGTGCCTGAGTAAGCATCCATCAGGATGCCACCCCCAGCACCTCTGGCGGGAGGGTGCACGAGCACAAACTTTCAAGGAAGTGCCAGGAGAAGTTTTTTAATTAGCATTAAAATTCTTCAGTTTTTCCTTTACATATGTATACCTAGAATATATGGAAGAGGATAAAGGAATAAAATTTCTACACGATAAAGCCTTATTATGAAAAAAAAAATAGAGATTATATAAACTTATGAACTCATTCAGTTAAGGTCCATCTCTAATCTTGGACATTTTATTGTTACTTGGAATCGTACTCAGAAAAACTAATGAATAGATATGTAAATTTAAATGCATGCAAAAATTAGAATATTTCTGCACGGGCATTTGCAATTCTCCCACTTTTCCAGAGTGTGAATAATACTTTGATCAGAAACACAAGAGAAAATGTAAACAAGTGTTTGGGTCATCACACGACTTGAGATCCCTGAGGGCAAAAGGTGGGGAGTACTGAAGACATTTGGGGGGGAACATGATGGGTGCATTTGCCAATAAGACCGCAGGACCCCCTCTGCGGTCTTCTCTACCCCTCTCTTCTCCCATCTGTATTTTACCAGAAAAAAAAAAAACATACAGCTTCACCATAAAGATTACATAATATGTATATCAAATAATTACACAATCACTTAGCAGCAAAATTAAAAAAATTTGTTGAAATTTTTGTGAACATCTGTATTTCAAAATCGTGTGCTGTCTAGACCTGGGAGATGCTCAGAGACTAAGGATGCTTGGACTGGATCCTGGGACCCACCGACCACTTCTAGTTGCTGTCTGATCTCCACACCTGGGCTTGCAGCCTCTCTTTCCAAAAAATGCGGTTTTGTTGTTGTTGTTGTTTTTAATTTTTGTGCTTTCTGGCTGAAAAGGGGAGGTGGATTCAGTTCGCCGCCGGGATTTCAGGAAATAACATCTAAACCTCTCCTGCAACTGAATTTTCGTTGAAACGTTTTAAAAGAGAAAACATTTGATCTGTAATGTCTTTAAATCTCTAGTGAGGTGTGTGTGTGCTTTTGATTTTTTTTTTGTTTGTTTGTTTGTTTTGTTTTGTTTTTTTAAAGATTTGTAAAATTCCTTTCGTCCGGGTTTGTTGATCTCATTAGCATGCGCTCCGGCAGCGGGAAATTCTTGTTTAACACACATCTTACTCCTTCCGGTGGACACGTCTTTTTTCCTTACCTTTGTCCCCAATCCACAGCCATATCTGCCCACCCTCTCCGTGTTCCTAACCACACCATAAGACACACTGCACTACGCCCAAGCTATGTCCCGGGAGCTGTTCTAAAGCTCTAAAACTGGGCAAAACTTCTCACACAGGCTTGCTCAAGCTTTAAGACGGAAAGGGGGAAGTAGGGGACGGAGGAGGGGGCGTAGAAAATGAACCTATCTCTAAATTTCCCCGAGTCAGGAACTTACCTTACTTCCCAACCAATCCAGAAATACTCTAAAGATGCCCAAAACACAGACTCTGCGCCTCAGTTTCTCATCCCCGGCAAGCGACAAGTAGCCTGGACTTGCTCCTTCTGCAGTGTGGGTGTGTACCGAGAAGGAACCCGCTGAGAACCCAGCACTTCTCGTAGCTTGGGGACTCTCCAGCTTTCTACCCCCCCCTCTGCCCCCCCCCCCCCCCGATAGGTTTTCCTGGAAAAACAAAACAAAACAGATGAAACACCAGGTCTAGGAAGCGCTCCTCATACCAGAACCCTTGCAAGCTCCGGGTGGCAGCCCTGTTGAGATACAGGTCAAGCCCCTCTCTTCTCGATCTTGCTTCTGAGAAGTGTCACTAGGAACCAATCCTTCCCAAAAAAAGGTGACCTGGGATCGAGGAGGAACAGCGGGGCACACAGCCAGAGTTTGGGGAGGGAGGCTCAGAGTTAGCACGTGGTTCCTCTGGGAACCAATGGAGGACCGCGATCCATCTTGTGACCTGGTCCCCCCTCAGCCTGCACACGGGACCAAAGGAAGGAGCGGTCCTGGAGCTTGAGCGAGCGTCAATTAGGACCACCATCACAGAAGGGGAAGTTATTAGGGGCGAGACAGGGGGCAGTGGTCCAGAACTTGTCAGCTCCGCCCCCTCGGTCCTCGAGATGCTGCTGAGCCCCGTCACCTCCACCCCCTTCTCCGTAGACGACATCCTCAGGCTGCAGGGAGAGCAAAACGACGCCAAGGCTCCGTCACAATGGGAGCTGACTAGGAACCCAGAAAAGCCTCAGGACCTAAGAATGGACCCTGAATCCAGAAGCTCAGAGAGCGGTGACAGGACAGACTCTTCTAGGTGCCTCTGGGAGACAGTCACCACCAGCATGGACTCAAATCCTGTGAGGGAGCCACGTAAGTAAGCGCTCTGGTCTTTCCTATTGAAGGAGAGAGTCGTCCATGAGGGAGGAAATGCCTCCTCTTTGGGGGTCCCAACCCTACCTACCACCTACCACCGTTCACTGGAGTTCAAAGCGCAACCTAGACCTGCCTCCTAAGGACTTGAATTTTAGGCTATTTCTTCTTTGCTAAACAAGGGATAAAGGTTCGGAGAGCTGCTTTCTCCCACCCCTTACCCCCCCAAACCTCTTTACCATAACTGGGTTTATGCTCCATTACCACTAACTTTCCTTAAAAAGAGGAAGACATGGAGTTCTCCGTCTGGTAGCCTCTACAATCCAGGTGGTAAACATAGGCAGGAAGGGCCAGCCCCTGGAAGGAATGAAATGGCACTGTCCTCCCACCTAGCCTCTGTGCCAGACTGTTCCTACAAGTGTGACCTGGGGCACAAGCAGCCTCCCCTACCAACCTGTGTATAAATTATGGCACCATCCAGCCAAGTAAAAGGGAGCCTTCTGAGTTCTCCTTGGACTAGAGGCTGTTTATCGACAGTATCCCAGAAGCCTGGAGAACATTGTTTTGCTGTGCTCCGGAAGAGAGCTATGGGGTTTTTCTTCAGTGGATGCTGAACGTCCAGCTCCCCGGGCATGGGTCTGCTAGCCAGCAGTTCCTTTCAGCTTTGCTGAGAAGGGGCGATGCCTGTTTCCCTCTCTACTGCTCCAGCCATGACAGCTAGTCTTCTGCCGCTGTGAGAGCCACCCGGGTCCGCCCTAGCCTGGCCCTGGGGGCTGCCATTCGGTGCCATCTGGTAGGCTTCACGGTGACATGCAAAGCGCTACCCCTTCCGAATCTCTAGCCTTTCTGAAAGCAGGGCTCAGAGCTCCGCGGTTGTTTCTAAGAGGGCACGGGGTGCGAAGGCTTACCTAGTCATTCTTTCATCCATCCATTCATTTGTTGAATCAGGTTTTTTAATTTAACCCTTAGTGCAGCAGCTGGTGTGTGGGGAAGTAAAGAATCAGTTTTCCTCGCCTCAAAATCAAATTCAAGGAAGGCTCCCTGCTGGTTGTCCTACCAAAGCTAAATTCTGTCTGACCCAGGGATCCCATTAATAAAGTGAGTTTATTTTCAGTCCCCAGTTGACTGAATGACCTTAGGTTGAGAGAGTAAAGTTTTCATCACTTTGGAACTCCCACAGTTAAAGTTTCTACTATCTTTTTGGATTTACCTGTATGGGGGCTCTTTCCCTAACAGGGACCTTGAAACTATGACTGCCCTGGCTCTCTCGGTGTGCAGCAGGCTGACCCAGAACTTAAAGCGATTGACCTGCCTCTGCTGAGCCGGTGACTTTCAACGGGCATCTCTCTCTCTTGCTCTGTAGTCTCACTGGAGGTCATTCTCTTTGGTGCCTTCCATTTCTCTGGGCGTAAATGCCCCTGGAGGAAAAATACTCTCTCTCCTTAAACTTTTAGTTCCCCAGAGGTTGTGAGCAGGGCTAGGGGGTGAGAGTCAAGATCTAAACCCGAGCCAGCGGGACCTCTTGAGCATGTTCTGTCTGTCCTGCACTCCCTGGTGCCCTGGAAGTCCCCTCCTTGTGTCCCTGGATTTCTCCCGGTGTGAGTTGTTCTCCACCCTCCTTTGGGGACCAAAGGGATCTTAAACCAAGACAAGTGGGGAGCAAGGGGGCTGTATCTAGGCCGACGTGGGCATAGACACACCCCGGCTGGGGGAAAGACTGCAAGGTAACCACAAGGCCACTTGCTTCCCAAAAAGACCCTCGAGGAAGAAGAGACCGCTTTTCCAAAAGCCAAAAATGTGGATCTCAACTTCACATATCAAAGAGAACTTCTATTTCCAAACTGAGAGTGTAGAGATCAGGAAATAACCTGGTTTTTAATCTGCTCGGGAAAAGACTTTACTCTTATTAACAGTGCACAGCATCCTCTCGTTTGTGACCCGGCCTTAGTCTCACAGGCCTGCACACTCACGCTTTTAGATTCCTCACACTTTTCCTGGCGGGTACAGAAGCCACGGAGATGGCAGGAATGAGACATTCGGAGGTGGGTAGAGGAGGGTGAGGTGACAAAGGGACGCTGGGCGAAAGCTTCTGGCCAAAGCAACCTGAGCCCGATGCTGGCTGTTGATGGTGTGTCCTTCTATGTCACTTTTTAGAGCCTCCCCGGGGCGCGGCCTCCCCGCTTGGAGCCGGGCACCCGATGATGGAGCTCGGCGGCGGCCTGGGCAAGCGCAGCGAGGACTCGCCCCGAGGCGGCCCGGAGCCGGCCAGGACTCGGGCTCGGCGGAAGCCCCGGGTGCTGTTCTCGCAGGCTCAGGTGCTGGCCCTGGAGCGGCGCTTCAAGCAGCAACGCTACCTGTCGGCGCCCGAGCGCGAGCACCTGGCCAGCGCGCTGCAGCTCACGTCCACGCAGGTCAAGATCTGGTTCCAAAACCGGCGCTACAAATGCAAGCGGCAGCGCCAGGACCGGAGCCTGGAGCTGGCGGGCCACCCGTTAGCCCCGCGCCGGGTGGCCGTGCCCGTCCTGGTGCTGGACGGCCAGTCCTGCCTGGGCCCCGACGCCCCCGCGTTCCCGAGTCCCTACGCGGCCGCCGCGCCCTACTCCTGCTTCGGCGGCTACGCGGGCGCTCCCTACAGTGCCAGCTACGCGGCAGGCTTCCCCGGCGCCCGCCCCGGGCCACTCGCCCCGCTCGCCAGCTCTGGCTTCAGCCCGGGTAGCCCGAGCGCCTCCCCGCAGGGCCATCTGCCCCCCACGCTCCAGGGAGTCACGGCCTGGTGAAAAAGCCTGAGCTCGGCTACTGCCCTTAGGGGCCTGGGGCCTGGTCCCCCTCCCCTTCCAGCCGGTCGCCAGCGAGCTGAGCATCCTTCCGGGCAGCTGGAAAGAGGTGCCTGGTCTGCTTTGCCCCCGGTACTGATCTGGGGACCGAACTGCCCCGAGGAGCCGCCTCCCAGCAGGCTTGAGAACCTTCTTTCCCTCTGAGATGGAACCGGGCTTGGTCTGGCCACCTAGATGCTGTGAAGAGAGAACGGCCCGGTGGCTTTATGGTTTGGAGGAAGGAGATCCCGAGCCACGACCCCTTCTAAACCGGGGATCAAGGCTGTCCGCCCTCCAGCCCTTAAGGGAGCGAGCGCAGGGTGTCAGAAGGGACGTGGGGTTGAGAAGAGGATGCCAGGCCGCTGGAGAGGATGACCCAGGATTTTTGTTGCGAACCATGCTGTGCTGCGGGTTTAAGCATCAGGACCTCTGGGAACATCTAGCAGAGAGTGCTTTTCCTGGCGGTCGCTGGCGGCTTCTCCATTCAGGCCCTCCGCTCACAGAGACTGCGTTCTGAGTAGGGAACAGTAAACGAGCTAACTACATTCGGTGTTTGCCACCGAGCCCTCCAGGGGTTCTCACGCGGTGTGACGGCCTACCTAGGTAGTCCCCACACTCAGGAGACCCACGCGGGAAGATTGGGAGTTCAAGGTCAACCTGGGCTACATAAGGAGCCCCTGTATCCAAGGAAAAATAAAATAGGTCTAGGGAGATAAAAACCGATTCAGCCCTGAAGGTAGGTTATGGGGTTTCTCCTCGCACCTTTTCCCCCTTTTGTAGATACTCTGAAGGGACATTTAAAGTCCCCTAAGGGAAGGAGTCCTACCCCAACCCCAGGTAGACCTAAAAAGACGGTAGAAGCTTTAACTGTGTAGTCTCCAAAATGATGAAAAATTCACACACCCTCACGCACACACACAATCTTAAGTCATTTACCCTGAAGACTGAAAATTCAAGTTATTAACGGGAGCACGGGGTCAAATGGGAATTTAGTTTCGGTAGGACAAATAGAGCAGGGCACTGAGTAGTGGGGGGAAATGTGACATCAGCTTCCTTGGATTTCATTTTAGACAATGAAAACCCCAATTCTTTAACTCCTCGACTGGAATCAAAAGTTAAATTATTATTGAACAGGTTCCTGTGTTTCATTAAAAGGGAAGCCCTGGAATTTTTCCTGAAGGGCTTATTCCTCCCGGGATGCCTCCATTACAGCGAGGAAGGGTGGGATTTGATCTCTAAGGAAGCTCAACGGTTGGGGGGTTTTCATGTCTTCAGAGTTACATGCCTAAGCTAGGGGAAACCAAGGCCACTGCTCTTATTTTACATTCACTTTCCCTTTTTTAACATTTATTCATTGGGGGAGGGAGGAGGTGCAGGCCCTGGTGCCTGTGGAGTCAGATGTGAAGGAGGCAGGTCTTGAGGATGGAACCCAAGCTTGGTGGCTAGTGCCTTTGTCCACAGAACCAACCGTCCCCATGGTCCAGCATCACTTCCTTGTGCTTTCATTCCGTTCTCTTCCTCTTATTGCTCATTTCTTCACTGTTAATAAAAGTGTGTTTAGGAGTGCATCAGTGTCCTCCAATTAGTGTTGCCACCCCCCCCCGGGGGGGGGGGACTTAAAAAAACAAACTGCAGGATAATGGCTGGAGATGAGCTGGGTCCCCTGTCACTAAGAAACTGAGCACAAAAGCACAGGCTTGTCATTCCGGTTCTCTGGAGGTGGAAGCTGAGGCGGATGGTCCAGGCTATCCTCTATGAAGCCTATGAAGCCAGTACAGGCCTGCCTGCGCTACATAAGGCCCTGTCCAAATAAAAGCAGAACACGTATCTCAAATTTGAAAAACTCAGTAAGAGATTTCCTCTAACCTAATCAAAAGAGACTCCAGCTAAAATCTCTACCCTGTGAGATTCCTCAAAGGGCGTCTCCTAATTCTTTTGCTGTGAGGGGTTTGCTTATCAAAGGAGGAAATGCTTGGATACTGATCTTTGATCAGGACAGACACCTTTCAATGCAGGGTTGGCAAAGAAGCCTCTCAGATTTTTTTTTAAGAAGTTCCAAAATATGTATTCATTTAAAAACAAACAAAACTCCCTTGAATAGGTCCCACCCATATATTCAAGGGAGTTTTGTTTTGTTTGATATCATATTCTAGGTGTTTGGAACAGAGTATGAAATTACATGTTATTTCCTTGCTCTTTCATGTCATTCTGGCCTGGAAAAGCCATAGAAGCAACAGTGTGCTGTGTTAGGAATAGGTCCTGGCTCCTGGATTAAGGCAAGTTAGACTTTCAGGCCCTCCCACTAAGGGGAGGCTTTAGAAGAAAGTGAAGAGCATGGGGGCTCTCTGAGTGAAAGCTGCAAGCAGGTTCTGTCATGGGGTGGACTGCCATCGTGGCTACACCTTCCTGGTAGGGAGCACAAGAGCAAATGAGATTTGACTAGGGAAGGGCAATGCAAGAAAGGTATCTAAAAACAGAAGATAGTGAGTGTATACTGTGCATCAGATAGGGCAGACATAAGCTCCAGAAAGAAAATCCAGCCAGCCAGGGAGGAGGGGATGGTGTGCTTAAGGGAAGGCTATGGACAGGAGGTGGGTAACTTTTGGTCTTTGCTGTGGAGAGGTTCAAATGTCCTGCCCCAGTGGTTTGAGCTGCAAATCAAAGCACGCATTTGTGAGTTTGGGAGTTACAGGCAATCCACTGAAATTCCATCGGCCTCCCCTCTCTTTCAAAATGGACCAGAGATGATGCCATAACCAAGCTTGAGGGACCGTCATCTTTTGTCACACCCAGGAGATCACTGTGACACCCCTCATTGGCCCGCCTCAAACATAAAAACAACCCAGAGAAAACTCTGTTTTCTGAAGACAGTAAGCAAATCTGGGTTTCTTGGTACACCAAGGATTTCTTCCTCAAGGAAAGGTGGACAAGGCAAACACTCTTCTCCTCCTCCCCACTGGGCCCAAAATGGCTTTGAAAAGTGCCCTCCCCCCTACACACACACCCCAGCCTTGGAAGTCCCCAACCCCCAGCTGTCAGTCTTCCCAGTAATCTGCCCACTACTAAAAGCTGCCTGCTTTTCCCCGAGTCCCTCACTGCCAACTGCTTATCCTCACTGGGTTTTTACGGGGGAGGGGACCACTCTGTAAGCAATCCTAGTCTTATCTGCATCCTTCAGAGCCATCACTCCAGTCACCTCTTAATGTTCACAAGTCCCCCAAATGGGAAGTAATTGACCTCTAAACAAAACAAAAAAGCTCTCAGGGAGATAGCAAAGGTTCCTGTCCTGACTGTCCCAGGGCCAGGGGCTTCACCTAGGCCAGGTGGGTAAGTCAATACATTTGCAGACTTCCTGGCTCCTGATCCTTCATCTCCCTGCCCATCCCCCTCCTTAAACCCACTGGTTCCCAGGCCCTGTACCAAACAGAGTCTAGACAGGAGTTGTGGGAGAGTTGAGGCATTTACTTTTGAAACGTTATCATCCTCCTCATCACCACCACCACCACCATCATCATCATCATCATCATCGTCACCACCGCCACCACTATCATCATTCTCAGCTGGACGTTTTCTTTAAATCCTTTAAAATTTCCATGTGGAAAATACCTCGAATTCCCAGCATTCATATGTGTTACTTATATGAATCAGCACAATGATTGAATTGCTGGAAGAGAAGGGTTTCAAATCGGTGCCCCCTCAGCCCTCCCCTGCAGAAGGGTGATAACTAGCTAGCTAGTTCTATCAATTACTCTGGTCCTAGTTTAACTAGGAGCAAGCTCTGTGTGTAACCTGGCGTCAGCTGTCTAAACTCTCTGTGCTCCATCTCTCAATCTGTAGAACTCTGAGGCCATTATTCTAACTTTGGGTGGCTGGCTCTCTGTTGGTTCACCTGCCCCCTAATTTTTAAAACTAGGACATACGTAGATGCTATGTCCAGAACGCTACACAAAATATCTAGACTGTTTAAGGGACACTTGTAAAGTGAACAGATTCATCAGCAACTCACAGTCAAGCACGAGGTATCAGTTCCTCTGCAACCCTGCCCCCACCCCCAGAGGAAGTCCAAGCTGCTGAGATGTAGCTTTTCATGTTTTTTCGTTATGGATCTGGTTATGTGGACACTTCCTTCAGCTGTGGTGTGATTGTGTCTGGTTTTGAAGGGTGTTGGGGGGAGGATCATTCTGCATGGATTCCTTTGTAACTGGCCATTTTTATTCCATAGCTGCGTGGGGATTCATCCAGGCTGTGGGGTGTAGCTTGGGTTAGTTGGCTTGCTGCATCAGACGGCACTAGGTGTGTGTACTTTAATGCATGTGTGAGCTGCACTGGCGGTGCCGGTCATTTAGGGCTGAGGAGGGTACGCTGCTTCAGTGGTGCTGCTTCTCACTGGCTTAGCTGTGCTCTATAGCTGAGACTTGTCTCTTCTTGCTGCTGTGACTGGCTGGGCAATGATCTATGTGCTGATGGAGTTCTATTCATTTGTGAGGAGTGCATGTTTGTGCGTGTGTGTGTGTGTGTGTGTGTGTGTGTGTGTGTGTGTGTGTGTGTGTTTGGGATTGGACCCAGAGCCTCACACATGCCAGGCAAGTGCTCAATCACTGAGACACATCTCCAGGGCTGGACTTCTATTGGTGTGGTGAAAACCCACCGTTCTACTCTTGTATCTACTTTGTCGTTTCACTCAGGATTCGCCTTCTCCATCCGACGCAGGTAAGCCTCGCTATCCATAGATTTAACTGACTTTAGATATACTTTTTTTTTTTTAATACTTGCAAAAACTCCTGGCACTTCCAAAAAGCAAAAGTTGCCTTCCCTTAAATACTGGACTGAGTCCCTTCATATGAATCAATACCTAAGTACTGCAGTGAATCCCCTCAGGCACCTAGAGACGCCTAGCAGATATGGGATGGTAGGTGTATATGGAGGGGTGTCTGTAAAAACACTGTGCTGTTTTAACAAAAGAC